CTCCACAGGAGATCAACACCCCTCTGAGCAACTCCCACGACAACAACACAAACCATCGATCTGAAGAATGTCTCCTTCGGGACCTCAAATATCTACACGAGTGCATGCTCAACCCATCAACAATGGCCCCACACATGCCCCCATCAAAGCGAAACGCTGCAGTCAGCTCGGCCACAAAAATCCTCGACTGCAAGCAGTTCGTTAAGGATTACCACCTCACGAACCATCTCTTCTCCTCCTTAAGTCCCAAGCAAAACACTCTCCGCCTCTTATGTGAAATTGATCTCTCCGAGCAACAGCAGCACGAGGTATGCAACCTCAAAAATCCCCCGCTCGAGATGCTCGTTCTCTCGCCCAACGCCACAATTGCCGACCTCAAGAATGAGGCCATGAAGGCTTTCCAGGATGTTTACCTGATGTTCAGAAGGTTCCAGGCAGACGAGCTGGTTGGTTATGGGGCCGTGGACGAGTCGACTCAGGTCAAGCTTTTGTTAGGCTCGACAGAGTATGTAAAGATCCGGGGAAGGTTTCTGGGGAAGAACAGTGTGAGTAGGTTTAGGATGGAGAGGGGAATGGATAGATGGATCGTGGACTGCTTGTGTGGGGCCAGGGATGATGATGGGGAGCGAATGCTGGCTTGTGATGTTTGTAGCATATGGCAGCACACGAGGTGTGCCGGGATTCTGGATTCTGATTGTGCGCCGGCCAAGTTTTTCTGCTACGGGTGTAGGAGTGTGGCCCAGACAGCAAAGGCCAGCGGGCAGTGCAGGAATGAGGTGGTGGTGGATGGTGGTGATAATGCGGCTGGGATGGGTATGTGCCTGACTAACACTGGGGTTTTGTAGTTTATAAATGCGTGTTTTTTTTCTCCGTTATCGTTCGACTTTCTTAGGCTTCGGTCCCTTTTTTTCGTAGCTGTTTTTTCCCTGACCACGATAAAGGTTTTGGTGTAAATATGAAACAGGGCCTTGGAAATGATTTCCAGTGGATATGTTGGGGTTAGTTAAGCCCGGAGTGGCATTTTTCCCTGCGGGCCGGTAGCTTGGTTGGCGAGGGTCTTTGTGTAATTTTTTTTTTTTTTTTTTTTTTTT